ATCCTTGCATCCCTGGAAGGAAATCAAGTTAATCACGGCACATGATCTTTTTGATGTTTTGTTTAATTTGGTTTGGAAGTATTTTATTAAGAATTCTTGTACTTATGTTCATTAAAGAGTTTGATTTATAATTCTCTCTTTTTTTGTTGTGTCCCTGTCCAGTTTGGAATGAGTATAATACTGGCTTCATAGAGTTGACTTTGCAGTGTTCCTTTCCTTTCCATTTCATTGAAAAGTTTGAAGAGTGTTGGTGTTAGTTCTTTAAAGGTCTGGTAGAATTCAGCAATGAATCTATCAGGCCCTGGGAGACTCTTTATTTATTTTTATTTTTTAGAGCTATGAAAGCAGTTGTGTTTTTAATGTTTTCTTTTAAATGTTTATTATTTTTAAAACATATGTATCAGAGACTCTTTTACTGCTTCAATATCATTGCTTGTTGTAGAATTTCTTTTTCTTTGTGGTACTGGGGTTTGAACTCAGTGCCTACACCTTGAGCCCTCCACCAGCTTTTTTTATATTTTTTGTGAAGGGATTTTTCAGAACTATTTTCCTGGGCTGGCTTCAAGCCATTATCCTCCTGATCTCTGCCTCCTGAGTAGCTGGAAATGCAGGCGTAAGCCATCAGTGCCTTGATATTGTTGTAGAATTTCTTAAGTGATTTATATCCTCTTAGTTCAATTTTGGCAGTGAAATGCATCTAGAAATTTATCCACTTCTTCTAGATTTTCTACTTTAATAGGGTTTTAAAGTATTCCCTCATAATCCTCTGCATTTTATTGGTATTTGTTGTCATATTCCCCTTTTCATTTCTAATTTTATTAATTGGATCTTTACCCTTCTTCTAGTTAAGTGGGCTAAGGGTTTATCAATCTTACTTATCTTTTTGAAGAACCAACTTTTTGTTTGGGTTTGAACTCAGGGCCTCACACTTGCCAGGCAGGCACTCTGTCACTTGGCTATTCCACCAGCCCTAGTTCTTGCTCTTTAGTCCAGCTTGCCATTCTGTGTCTTTTGATCTACTTACCTGGTAAGATTTATTTATGCCCATATTTTCATGGCTAAGTTTATCTTCACCTTCTGTTTGTAAGATTCCTTTGAGTATCTTCTGGAGTGCTGATTTAGTTGCCATCAATTATTTTAGCTTTTGTTTATCATGGACAGTTTTTATTTCTCCTTCAATTATGAGTTATAAGCTTTTCTGGGTAGAACAATCTAGGTTTATAATTATTTTCTTCAACATTTAAAATACCTCATTCTATGCCCTCCTTGCTTTTAAAGTTTCTGGGAGGAATCTGTTACTCTGATTGGTTTGCCTTTTTAGGTGACTTGGTACTTCTCCCTTTCAGCTTTCAATATTCTTTCCTTGTTCTCTGTGCTTGTTTTAACTGTCATAGGCTATGGAGAGTTTCTATTTCGATCTTATTTGACTTGAGTCCTAGAGGCTCCTGCACCTGAGTGGACATCTCTTTCTTAAGGTTTAAAAAGTTTTCTGTTATTGTTTCCTGTGCCTTTAGCCTTCAGTTCTTCTCCTTCAGTGCCATGATACATAAGTTTGGTCTTTTTAATGGCGTCAAAGAGTTCTTGCATATCTATTAATATTTCTTATTTTTTTCTATATACATTTGAATTTTCTATTACATCTATATTGTCTTCAAACTCTCATATTCTGTCTTCTACTTGATTCAGCCTGCTGGAAAGGCTTTGTCCTGGATTTTTTATTTGACTTAACAAGCTTTTCATTTCTAGAGTTTCAGTTTGATTTTCTTTTTGTTTTCCATAATCTTTTTTGAGTTCTCCTTTCATGTCTTGCATTGCTTTCCTATTTCATTTAGTTGTTTATTTGTATCCTGCTTTATATTATTCAGATGTTCTATTGTATCCTCTTTGAGTTCATCTAGCTGTTTCTTTGTATTCTCTTTGAATTCATTTAGCTGTTTATTTGTATTCTCTTTAATTTTGTTGAGGTTTTATGCATGTCTTTTCATCTCATTGATCTTCTTATCACTCTTTTGAGCTAAGAAACTAAAAATTCATCCCCTTCACTATCAGTCATGTCCTTTGTTATGTGACTGATGACCTTTTGAAGTGTCATATTACCTTACCTTTTCATATTTATTGTGTTTCTTTTTTGAGAATACTGACTTTTTAATTAAAAAAATTAATTAATTTATTCACTTTATATTGTCATTCTTCTTTTGCATTTTTTATGCTTATCTCTTGCTTACAGACTATTCTACTGGTGGTTTATTCTACCTCCTTCTTTTATTACTTTTAACTTTTCTATTCTTTTGCAATTCCTGATAATAGCACTCTTCTCTGTGCTATATCCTTATAAGCTAAGATGGGGCAGTTCCAGGTGTGTAAGGTGGCAGTTGGTGTGGGGTCCTCTAGCACAGCTAATGGGTCAGAAAGCACTCTGCTGCTTTTGAAGCCTGCACTTTTTCCTGTTCAGAGAGTCCAGTGGTTGTCTGGCTTATCCACCTAGGCCTCCAACTTGATGTTTCATTTGGAGAGTGAGGGCAAATAGCTACTTGCACTGTGCATATACATACACTGCTGGATTGGGTGGTAGGTTAAAGGCTCAAGTTAGCTGGCCAGCTCTCTTTGACTCCCTTTTTGTCTTGGGATAGAGACCCAAGTGTGGAGCTCTAGTCAGCTAGCCTGTTTACTTTGCCCTTCCTTTGGATAGAGACCCTAGGCTGAGTGGCTTCACCTCTCCCGCTTCTGGTGATCTGGGATGGTGCGGGAGCCTTTAATCAGCCTGCTTAGCCAGAAGTTTTCTGTGGGGTCAAATGTATTTGTGTGTACACTGGGCTTGGCTGAGCAGTGACCCTTTAGGTAACACTGGTTGTAGTGAAGTTCACACAGCTTCCCTCCTCCTCCACTAGTCTAAGGCCACCACGTGAGGGAGCCATTAACCAGCTTGCTTAGCCAGAGTTTTGTTCAGGGTTCAGATATACTAGCACCTGTGCACTGAGATAGCTTGTGAAGCAACCCACAGGGCTCAAACTGGTTCACCTCACTGGCTGGTTCTATGCCCAACTTTCTGCTCAGGTGGGAAGATAAAGATGCCAGCTCCCTTCTGTCCAATGGCACAGGCAAGACTTGCCAACCTGCTTTCAGCCCTCTGTGCAGTTTTGTTCATAGTCAGCTCCCTTGAGTGACTCTTGTGGGAAGCAATTCAAGTCTGGACAACAACAACAACAAAAAAACCTGAGTTGGGAGGTGGTGTGGGATGGGGCAGGTCCAGGTCTGCATCCATGATGGATTTGTGCTTTTAGAGGTTTAGAGCTTGGTATTTCTAGCTACTATCTGTCCTGATACTGTTTCCCTTTATTTTAGTGTACTAATTTGCCCACCTCTCCTTGTAGCAATGGACCTAAGGTTTTATTTCAGATTCATGGAGACATGGGGAAGTGGTACCTGTCAGCAACATCTTAGAGCTTTCTCCATCACCAAGCAATTTTTGTTACAGTTTCCTAGATAACTTCTTCCTTTTTTCTTTTAGTTCTCAGTAACCTACCATATATTTTTGAAATTCTAGAAGAGAGGAACTTGATGGCTCCAAACATAAAGAGATGATAAGGAAAATTGTTAGCTTTGATTTGATCACTGGGCAGTGTGCATATGTTGAAGTATCATACTGTACCCATTTAACATGAATAATTTAACACATGTTAATTAATTCATGTTAATACCATTTACTTAATAAATGTTACTAGGAAAGCTGGAAAAATGTATCTCTACTTCATAACATACTCCAAAATATATGTTTATTAAAGATGTTAATTTAAAAAGTGAAACCACAGAATGTTAAAGTATTAGAGTGTAGAATGTCTTTCTAAACATGATCTGAAAAGCAAAAATAACAAAAGAGATTGATAGATTTGATTACATAAAAATGTTAAACTTCACAACTTCCTCAAACACCATAAAAATGTAGAAGTAACTGACTATCTTGACAAAAATAGAAGAAATATATGGAAGATTAAGACATAAGTTCTGTATTGTACAACAAATTCATGAAATATGTAACTCACAGATGACTAAAGGTGAAAATAAAAAGGGATTTTGTTTTGTTTTGGCCATTAAATTGGCAAATAACAAACAGGTGAGGGTACAAGAAAACCAGCACTTGTCTATACTACTGGTAGATGTATACTTTGGGGTACCTTGCTGGAAGGTAATTTGGACATGGTTAAGAGCCATTCCTCAAGAATTGATCCTAGGGACATTTTTGTGAATATCTGAAAATAGATAACTCCAATGATAAGCATTGGAAGCCAGTGATAATCATTGTGGTGTTCTTTAGAATATCAGTAAATTACAGACACTAAATGTCTTCATAATAGTTACACTTGAGTCATATAATGGAATACTATGACATTATTAAAGAGACTTGGGAAGTATTTAATGATATGGGTAAATTCTTGCAGCATCTTCTTATATAGATGAGAATTATACAAATAAGACTAAAAATAGGTTCTTTAAAGTGTAGTGAAAGAAGGATGAGAAAGGTTTTACTGCAGTCAAGACGTTAACTTTTATCAGCATATAAAGGATGCCAACATACTTTTGCTAAGAGTTTCGTTGATGGGTTCTGACTTAGTTGATATACTTATTGTTTCCAATTGTTCAATTGCTATGCTTTTCAAATTAATCCTGTTTATCAAAGGCAAATTCATTTTTGCAAATTTGGTTTGCAAGGCAACAATGGAATGTGTCTGACTATAACAAATTAAGCATTTCTTAATTTTAATACTTAGTTTTTCAGTTTCACAGCAGAACCAATTCTGGTTATTCACAATACCTGTGCTGCCATGAGATTAAAGTACAATTATCTGGTAGCTATTTAACTTTTCATAATTAGTTTAAGCAAAAGTAGTGACTTTTAAAGGGCCATTAAAAGTGATGAATGCTTTACATGCAGGTATTAATAATTTTCACTCTTTTTTATGGGTATTCAAATTCTGTGTCCTCAAATCTGTTTGTCAATGAAGGTGCTGATAACCAGTATCTGGAAGAAACATCTTTCTGGGAAGCTGTCTCAAATTTTTTCTTTCCAACAAGTAAGTTGTTTAATTTATTTTTCCTCCTAATGTCCTTGTGTTAAAAGCAGTAGCTAAATGTTTAGGAAGCAGCTTGGAGGCCTGAGGGAGTAGATCGAATGTTAGAGTGGTTGCCAGCAATTGTGAGACCCTCAGTTCAAACCCCAGTACTGAAAAAAAAAATGTCAGGAAGCAGTGTAGTCTGTTAGCATTGAATCTGAGTTTGAGTGTTGGCTCTGCCCTGAGCCTTAAACAAGATATTTTCTCTGAACCTCAGAATCCTTCTCTCTAAAATGAAGATATTTACCACAAAGAATTGTGAGGAGAAACTAAGTATTTGCAAGGCATTCCACAGATGATTGTCATTCTTCATAAAATACTTTTCCTTCACAAATACCTAAAACTGTGACAATTTACCTGAATGGAATGTCTTGAAATACAGTGACTGACCCAATATTATGAAATTCATGTCTTCTATGGCATTAAGTAGAGTACTGTGTGACTCTGTTATGGAAAATGCCAGATGTTTCCCCATCTGTTTTAGTGATAAAAAGTCCAGATTTCGAGTCACATCATCTTTTTGTGATTCTGTATATAATTTGTTTATCAAGAACATTATGGCTCCTAAGAACTGTTAACCACAATAAACATGTTTCATTTTTGTACAGCATGTGGTACTCTTTCAGAGAGAAGCTTCTTATAAATTTACATGTGAATTATAAAGATAAAGATTTTATTTAAAATCATGCAGAATTTATTCTAACAAAATTTGATGTACCTATTACTGTATTCTAGACCCTACCACTGAATTCTTCTGTGGCCTTGCAGAAATCTCTTCATGTTTCTCTTTAGTGTTTTCATCAGTACAAAATAGTCATTATAACATCTGCTACTAATGAGGATAGTAAAATAAATGAGTTGTTTAAATACTACCACAGTCAAACTGAGTAGGAACAAAAGAATTCTGGAAAAGTGTTACCTTGTATAAGCTTAAAACATAGTTTATTCAGTGTCAAATTTCATCATAAACAACAACAAATGACAATTTAAGCTTTAGAGTTTATGAAAATAGCAGTATAAATTGTCACATACTTGCTTATAGTAACTACATTATACAAACACAGAAACCATCTTTAAAAACAATCTTAAGATAGTGCATTTCCCCAACATTTCTCTACCTTGACACCATAAATTGGGCCAAAATCAATTATGTAAAGTAATTTCCCCAAGAAAATCAAATGGTTTCATTTTAATAGAAACATTTGACCTAGGTTGATCCAAATCTTTGGGAATATAGATTAAATATTTATAAAATGTGGATCCTGCTTTTTTTTAAAGAATAACTACAAAATAGATGACAGAGAGGATTTTGAATGTCCCCAACACAAAGAAATGATAAATGTTTAAGGTGATGGATATATGAATTACTCTGATCTAATCATTACACACTATATACATGCACTGATAGTACTGTGCCCCATAAATATGTACAATATGTGTCACTTAAAAAGAGATTTTTGTATAGCACCTGACTACCAAGTGTGAAGCCCTGAGTTCAAACCTCAGTGCCAGTAAAGTAAAAAGAAATTTGTTAAAAAAAATACAAGTTCATAAAATGTGAAATATTTTAAATCAATTTATTTCTGTCCCCATGTAATTGAAAATAAATATTCTTGCCACTTAATCATTATAATATGTTTTTTGTAAAGCATCATAACTTGGTGCAAACTGGTAAGGAAGCTTAAAAGATCACTAGATCTCTTCCTTTGAACACAATTGCATATTTAAAATTTAAAATGTCTCAACTCTTTATTTAATTTTTAGTGGTTCTTTAAAAAATTATATTATTATTGTACTGGTGGTACATCGTGACATTTACAAAAGTTCTATTCTCCCCCTATCCATCATTCTCCTTTCCCCCTCCACCATTCTTAAATAGTTTCAATAGGTCCTTTTTTTATACACAAGGACATAATATTTCTATATCCTCCGTGTTCCCACTGGTACCAACCCCCCAGACAGGACCTGTTTTACCTTTCTGTTCTCTGTTTTTGAAAAAAGACATTTTTTGTTTAAGATCTCTATATGGAGAGTTTCATTATGACATTTCAAAATATATATGTATTATATCACAAATTGGTTCATTCTCTCCAGTTTTCTCCATTCTACTTCTTTATTTTTCAAAATTACAAATGTCTTTTATTAATTTGAGTCTGAAAGTTAATTTTAATATCTAGCATAAAGTACCTCAGATGCAATTTAAATATAAAATAACAGAAGCTCAATATTAGAAGAGACTTTTCTAGATTATCTAGTCCAGTCTCTTCTGTGATTCAAACCCTCTCTACAGCATTAGTGCAAAGTGATGTTTAAACAGTGCTAATAGTAAAAAACTCAGCATGAAGGAAGTCCATCCCATCTCTGACTATTGTCATTTTTTTCTGGGGAGTTAAATCCTAGAACTGAACAGAGTGTTCCAGATGCAGTCTAACCTGGGGGAAGAAAGTCATTCCGGGTCTAGTAGAATTGAAAAATAGATTGCTTATAGTATATAATAACAAAATAGAATAAACTCACATGTCTCAAATATTTGGGAAATGAGTATCTAGGCCAACTGATAATGCATTAAATTTATGACCTTGCATAAGTTACTTACTTTTAAAAAGGAGGCTGTAATACTCAGTTTGGGAGTTTTTGCAGTGATTAGCAGTAATGTGTGTAAAGCAAGAAGTGCTTAATGAATGGTAGCCAATATTATTTCTACCTTAGTCTCAGGAATTGCCAATCTATAAAGAAGAGGATTGCCAATATATAAAGAAAAACATCATAATAACATGAATAATTTATTGTTCTTTGCTGATGTTGAAATAATGTAGAGTGATTATAAAACACCAGTTATTTTTTAAAGTGTTGCAGTTGTTGATGGTATAGAAGATTGAGCTGAATCTATTCTGGCCTTAAGATATAATAGAGAGGTATTTTTGTTTTTTGTTTTTGGCAGTCTTGGGGTTTGTATTTAGGGCTTCACACCTGCTAGGCAGGCACTCTACCACTTGATCCAGATAGGATTTTGCAAATTATTTGCTGGGGACTGGCTTTGAGCTACAATCTTCCTGATCTCTTCTTTCTGAGTAGCCAGAATTTACAGGCCTGAGCTATCAGCACCAAGCTGGTTTTTCTTTTTGAACAAAAATTTATTATTTGTTTCTCTTATAATGCCAGTGGTGTTTTTAAATATCAACTATTTGAGCTTGCAAGTCTTTTTGATTCAAATATATGTGAATTTATTTGTAGTTGCAAGGAATCATGGCATACATGTCACAAATCACTGTATATTTAAAATTATAGAATCATGGCTTAAGGAGAAATGGAAGAAACTTAAAATATTGTATAGTGCCCATATGACTTATAAGTGTAAGCCAATACTCTAGCAGTAAACCATGTGAATTTTTCTTACATTTATTCTCCTTGTTGCATTCATTGAGCTTCTATAGTTTAGTAAAATTAAGGGAGACAATATCTGTGGTATCCTTTTAATGGGTTTAGTTTTAATGGCATTAGCCTGTTACTTAGTTCCTTATGTGTTTCACCACCATTCAGTTCGTGACTTATAGTTCTTTAAAAACTATCTTACCAATCACTGGTTAAAAAATGTTTCTGTAGTTCACTTAGAATTAAAAGTAAGGAGTTAAATAACTTTGTGGTAATTTTTAACTCTTACTTTTAAATTTTAACTTATTTTTAGTACTCATCACTATGTCATTCAATCATTTGAATGTACCAGTTTAAATGGTTTTCTTTGTTTTTGCCTTATTCTGATTTAGCTAGGGAAAGTGCTTATTAACCATGTTGAATTCACTTTTTGTGTTTCTATTTTTAACAGCCTGCATCATAAGGGAGGATCAAGAAGTAAAGGCTTGCAATGAGAAGCAAAATCTTAGCAAGGGTAAATGTTTGAGACTCAAGTGCTGTTATTCACCGTTCAGGACTGATCTGAGATGTTTTGCCCCATTAAGAGATAGTAAGTTAATTCTTTCTCACTTATTGTATCTGTTTTTAAAAATTGAATAAGCAAAAAGAGAAAAAAATTGAACAAACAACTCACATTTGAATCTCCAAGCTTAACACTTCTAGGGCACTTACAGTCCTAGAGCAATGCTGTCTTTAAAAAGTTCTGAGGTAGTCAGGATTCTATTCATGAGAAATTTCTGCTTAGATGGTGATTATGACTGCTAAAATTATTCTCATCTTTTCTTTTGATTCATTCACACTCTGCCTTTTGTCTTAGAGTTTTAGACTTTATGATGTGTGATTCTGAGTACCTGGGGAAAGATATTGTAAAGATGATAAGGGAGTGATCACTTTCCTGCTCATCATAAAGGGTCATGGATAACACCTCAATAGCAAAAGACAGTTTAACAGGGGAAAACATAACAGATTTATTTGATCATAATTTTGAGGGGGCATTATTTGTGTTTGAATTCAGGGCTTTGTGCTTGCTAGGCAGGTGTTCTACTGCTTGAGCCATGCCCCTAGTCTTTTTTCCTCTGGTTATTTTGGGGATAAGTTCTTGCTTTTTGACTAGGCTGACCTAAATCTCAACCTTCCTTTTTTATACTTCTTGCCATAACTGGGATGACAGGAACACACCACCATGCATACCTTTCTTCCTTCCAGATAGAGTGTCACGAACTTTTTTTGTCTTGGATAGCCTGGAACCACAATCTTTGGGATCTCAGCCTCTCAAGTAGCTAGGATTACAGGCATTAGCCATCAGCATCCAGCTTTGATCATAGAGGACATATGAACTATCAGATTGAAGATCCAAAGATGCAGGGTCAACTATGTATTTTTATGCTTAGGTTCCATGTAGAAATAATAATATAAAAATATGGTTGGAGAAAAAGGGTATGTTCTAAAGCTGATAGACTACGGGAGCAGATACAGAAAGGCTTTCCTGTTCACATTCTCCATTGCCTCTCAAGTACAGGGCAGGATCCCTTCTTTTTTTTTCTTTATTCATTTATTCATATGTGCATACATTGTTTGGGCCATTTCTTCCCCCTGCAGGGCAGGATCCCTTCTGAAATGTTTTATGACCTATTGTCAAATAAAGGAGGTCAGAGAATTCTTAGGGCTAGCTCCAACAAGACAGAAAGAGAGTCGGGTAAGAGTAATATTTTTAGGCTTATGGTTTGATTTGTGAAGAATAGCGGTCCTAATTTCTATCGTCTGTCTAGGGGAAGAGAAGTTATAATTTCTTCAGTTTTCTTTGAGGGTCATAAGGGAGAGCGGGAGACAGGAGGACAGGAGATCAGAAAAAAGTTTGCTTCTGTGGCCTTTATTTTGGGGTTTCATTTTCTCAGTCCCAACAGTACTATTTGGGCATGCCTTAGCTTACTTTTCCTTTCTTAGCTTCTCTTCCTGAATAGACTTCTTCCCATTTATCTTGTCTTTGACATCTGGGCATATAGCAGTAGATTTGAATGTTTGTTAAGGCTTATTTACTAGCTTTTTTATGTTCTATTATTTTAGAATTATGTCCTCTTAAGAATTTTTTTCCAAAGTTTTGAGAGCTAGACCATTTGTTTTTGCTACCTTCATTTGATTACGGGGGATATATTATCAGTAGGCCCCAGACTGAATGGATTTGATGTGATGGTGCATGAATACTATAGAAAGAATGCATGCAAAGCAGTATTTTAGGTTAATATAGTCCCTATTCAATTTGCAGCTGTTTTTTGAGCATCTCCTATTAATTATGAAAGCTAAAACATGATCATGAATACAGTATTACACTTTTAACACTGTCACATGGTATTTAGAATTCATTTATCAATTTATTGTTTATGTTATGTGTAAAGAGACATTTGGTTCTTTTAAACTGGTAAGAACAGATACTATACATGATCTTAGCCAAAAGGCCAAGAAGTAATACATTTGGTTCTTTTAGAAGAAAGAAATTGAACTGTGACTTATAATTTCCCAATCATATTAGAATGCATTTCCCAATGAATATAAGACAAAATATGCTTATCCACCTGCAGATTCTTGATATCTTGTTTAACTTAATGTGTTGTAGCTTGGAAGTAAAGCTTTAAGAGTCCATTCCTTTACTAAATAAACTACTCGTAGATTAATTGGCTCCTTGGATGCTGTAAGGGGCCATATAACATATGGTCATGTAAAAAGCACACAGGGTTATAGGAAGAAATACATGCTATGTATTATAATCTGTTAACAAAAACAGTGAGATCTTTCTTTAAGGCATCCATTGGGGAGCATATGTTGAAAGTGTACTCTTTAGTTGCATTTCAAGAATATTTCATAAGCTCCTACTTTTTTAGTATAACAGGGATATATACCTATCATATAAGAGTACTTCCTCATTTTATTTATTTATTTACTGATAGTTTTTTATGAATACTTAATGAAATGACAGTTTTGTTCTCTTGCTTAAGTCATAAAAGTAACTAGATATAATTAAACAAACAGAGCCTTTGCAGATGGTCCGAATGTTTGGATTTGGAGTGATCAGCATGATAATCCTGGCATGCCTGCCCATTTATTGCTGCTCTCTTTTCTGGAGGAGGTAGGCAAACATAAGCTTTTGTCTGCTAGTTGCTGGGTATATGTGGATATTTGTGTGTACAGGCATTTATTCAGAAGTTTCAGATATATAAGGATTATGTTTGGGTTATTTTTGTTGAAAGGAAGGTAACTTGGAGAAAATCTAAAGGTGGAGTTACCATGGTGTTCTCCAAAAATTAAATTGCTCTTGCAATAATTCAAGATATCCTCTAGTATAGGTTCTGTATATTCCTTCATTAAACAAAAATCCCAATTAAAAGGAAAAATAAATCAGCAAGCTGGTGGTGTTTGGAGTTCAGGTAGCTATTAAGTGCCAATCAGAGGCATTCCTGAAATGTTAAGTTTCCATTGAATTATCTGCCATTAATATTTAGGGGTCATCTACCATGGGATTTTAAGACAAGTTGAACTAGATTTCTTCTTAGTGTCCTACATGAAATTTCAGTTGACTACTAGCATGATATGTCCAAGTTTGTTTTTTCAGTTGCTCCCCACCTACTGAAAGAGAGTAGGTGTGAAGGTACAGAACAGAACCAGAACTAGTGTAAAAGATGATAGGCAGTTGGCGCATAAACATTAAAGAAGAATTCACTCTCAAGTTCGTTCAAAAAGTATAGGGTCTGTACTGTAATGACCTTGAGAGTAAGTACCTCCAGTTTTCTTGGAATGTAACACAGAATGTGCTTACTGAAGGTTAAGCATCTTTAATATTTTTATTTATGTTAATTGGAAAGTAGCATTAAGCTACCAAGAATTGGTTTAGATTTCACTGCAAACTTTATCTGTACACATTACCTTATTTTCCATTATGATCATCAAGTTTTTCCTTACGTGAATTTCACAGACATTTTGAATCCACTGTTAAATCACAACATTTCAGCTATTTCGGCTTACATCCAACAGTCAACTCTTTTCTCAGGTTTCATTTACCTTCCTATTTTGAGTGGGTAATCTCTATTCCTTGGCCTTTCTGATTGTTTTCAGATGAATAGGAGAAGGACTGGAATTCTCCTCCTTTCCCTCTAACCTTAGTTTCACATAAAAATAGCCCATGAATAAAAGTGAAATATTTGTTAGAATTTGGTAGCTAGAATTATGCCAGGCAATTTAGAGAGTTTCTGGGATAATGAGCTTCATATAATTTCATTATGACTCTTCTCTTACTTCTTTGCTAATGAGTTTTATGGGGCATATTCAGATCCACTTTTGTTTCTTTAAAATGAAATCCAAAGAGTTATATCCTAATAAGAGTATATTTTAGTTATTCTACATAATACAAATTACTTGAGAGACATGAACAATGTAAGTATATATGTTTAACACTATATGTTTTGGTTTACTGTCTTACATAGTTACTTTACTATTTTGTGTAAGAGTAGCATGTTCCTTCTGTCATCTTGAGCTGCTGGTCCTGATCCTGGAGCAAGTGGCACTTTTAGCTTTGTTCATAGCTGAGTTTACATGAATAATGGGTGAGGGTAGATGGGGCACAGTGAACTTTTCCTGGTAAGCTGATTTTAGAAACAAAGGGAATAATTGTGTTAAGGATGGAGATCCACCTTTGTAAATGCTACAATGTACTCCCACCCAGCACAACAACAACCAAAAAGAATGGAGATCCCATCTCAGATACTAAGCAAGGGGCTAAAAGGAAGCCAAAAGGCTGCTATATTCTCTTTTGAGAGGTAAGAGATCCCCTTAGAATTATCCCCTTAATGCATTTCTTATGTCCATTTTAAAGAATAAATAGCTAGGTAAAATACTAGTGTAGGTAAAATAAATAACCACATAAAAGGGAAATAGATGCAGCAGTAAAATCAATATGTAGTTGCTTAAAAAGGAAAAGAAAGAAGCCAGATACAGTTGTTTATCTAAATCAGAGGAGCTAAAAGCCAAATGGAGATCTGCAATAATGTGATCTGAGCCTCTCTTGGAAGAACTCTTACTCTTTCAGCACTGGAAGGTATCTTTATGTTCCTCCTCCTGCTGGGTCCTGCCTTAGACATTAGATACTTGAACATTCCTTGAGGAAGAAGTTGTTGCTCTCCTCTCTTAGTCTTCAGTTGCAAGCCAAAACAAATGAGGTTTTGACATTCCCTTGTTTCTGCAATTTGGACAGTTCCTTTTACTTACAGATTACCGAAGTTGCATAAAAACTGGCAAGAGTTGGAGCCATGAAAAATTAGCATTTAAGCAGGTGGGAAAAGTGAAAGCAGTTTATATGAATAGTATAATCATTCCCCAGTTCCAAATAAATTTACTTCATTCTTCTGGTGCTTCATTCATGCTTTTTGCAGCTGACCATATTGTCTTAAGACCATTATATCTTAAGGCATAAAGCCTTAGTTTAAGGAGCTAAATTCTCCTTAAAACAACCTCTTTATTTTTATTTATTTAGTTTTTGCAGTACTGGGGTTTGAACTTGGGACCTAATGCTTGGTAGGAAAGCACTGTTTCCTCTTGAGCCACTCTGCCAACCCTTTTTTATGATGAGTTTTTTTGAGATAGGGTCTTGTAAACTGTTTGCCCAGGGCTGACTTTGAGCCATGATCCTCCTGATTTCTGCCTCCTTTTATTTTTCTTTATTGAATTTTATTTTTTCTTTATTTTTTGTTGTTCTGGGTGGGGGTACATTGTGGCATTTACAAAGGTTCTTACAGTGCATCAAATATATCATACTTGAATTCACCCCCTCCACCACTCTCCTTAGTAGCTAGGGTAATAAGCATGAGCCATTGGCACCTACCTCTTTAAAACACAAAGAGACCAGAATGAATAGTAGCAATAATTTGTGAATGTTCTGAAGTGGAGGGATCAGAGTGAGTGTGAGAGGACAGGACAGGCTCCTTATAAAGATGCCATTTGAGCTAGGTTTTCAAGGGAGGACAAGATTTATATTAGATGGGGAAGAGGCCATTCCACAGAATTCTTCACATCCAGATGGGGATCTGTGTCCTTACTATAGACCCCTTCAGCTCTTGTCATTTTTAAACAGAGGTGGCTGAACTAAGTTCTTGGAATAATCTATAACTGAATATATAGTTTGCTTCTACTAGGCTTGAGTTCAGGTATGACATAATATAATCTAGATACATAAAAAACTCAAGCCGGCTTGAACTAGTTGCACATATACAAAAGCGAAGAGAAAGAGCAATTGAAAAAGCTTTCTAAGAATTTGCTATTAATACCTTTATTGAACTTGCATATAAAATGTGTTTTGAAATTCATTGCAGCCTCAAGGGTATGTAAAACCTGTTTTTATCTCCTCTTCATTAATACGGATCAGAAGCTTCATTAGGTTTAAGTGTCACTGATAAGCTTAAGACTTACTTAGAGGAGAAGGAAGGAAAAGATCAACTGGATGGGGACAAAGGAAGCTGAGGACAGGAGCTCTAGGGAAAGGAGGGTGATCGAATTGTTCCCAAAAGTGCCAATAACAGTAGTCTCAAGTGTGACATTTACTTTCTTATCTTTATATATTTTTAAATAAAGTTCAAATCTGTGTGCATATGCTAGTTAAACATTTGTGTATTATATAGTGGCCTTGTACTTGAAGATGTACCTAGCCTTGGTAGGATGGAAAAATTCAAACATTTTAACACCATGCCTATTAAACTCAGATGAAGTGCATTTTCATGTTCTTGAATTTTTAATTTTGAATTAAGAAAAAATTCAGGACTCAGGTTGAAAATGACAAGACTATGTTTTCTTTCAGCTAATAATTTTTTCAAAGATTGTAGATCATCTGGTACACAGATGATGTAAAAAGCACATCCCCCATACACTTTCAATGTTGCTGCTTTCCAGATGGCTATTACTGAAAATTTCTACATTTAGACAAATCCTGCTGCACGATTCTCATAATGTAGTTTTCATTATGCTGATTGTCTTAATACTGCTTATGTTCTTATAATGGGATGTAAAGAATTAAGAATAAATGTGTCAAAATTGCCTAAAAATCATCACCTATTGAAGTTAAAAAAATAGACATTTACATCTTCAAATCCCCATGTTTGTATGTTGCATTATTCTGTACAATACAATTAGTAATGTTATTTTGAAAAGCATTATGCAGTAATTAGTCAACTGCTGGAAGGTTTGAAGTTCTTATCATTATATACATATGAATTCAGAAGAAGAAAATAAAATCTATAAATTTTAAAAGCATGATTATGTTCTCAAAACTTTGATAAAATATGTCATATGATAATGTGAGCAAATTGAAACTCTATGCTAACATGAGTCACTATACATTTGAAATTTTTGTAAAGATAGTTCTGCTTTGTCCCTGTTCAAGGTAATTCAGTTATTGAAATAGTAAGAGAACTTCATTTTATGTGGATTATATGTCTGAGGTATACCCATTGCAAGGACTTTCTAGAGAAATTTACAATAGTAAGTACTATTGAAAAGAACATTATGTTGTCAGATAGCTAATAATGTTATTGCAGAATGCAGCGGCCTTTTCTCAATTCCCATCCAACTTGACCTTTTGGTCTCATAGTGCACTATTGACTATTCCATTTTGAAACATTCCCCCTTGGACTCATTCTCTTACCATTCTGATCCGTTTCAGTCTGATTTTCTTTGTTCTACAAACTGTGGCTTCCCAAAGTTTTGTTCTCATTTATCAGTGTTAGAAGTATATAGTAGAAAGAACATTTTTAAAGATCTGTGTTCTGAGCTGAGGGTGTGGCTCAAGTGGAAGAGCTTCTGCCTAGCAAGCATGAGGCCCTGAGTTCAAACCACAGTACCACCAAAAAAAGATTTGTGTTTGAGTTCTTCTTTTGCTATCATGTTGTTTCATGGTTGAGCTTAAATTCTTTGGACATTTATTATCTTATAAAAAAACAGAGAATTGTGTCCGGTAATTCCTTTTTTTTTTTTTTTTTGCTCTACTGGGGTTTAGAACTCAGGGCCTCACACTTACTAAGCAGGCTCTCTACCACTTTAGCCACTTTGGCTACCCAGAGTTAGATCACTTCTAAGGTCTATTCTAACCACC